CGGTTCCGTGACATGATTTGGACCTATGTAGTGAGAATTTGGAAATTTTAAGTGTGGAATTAGATTATATGAACCACAAATGGAGTTCTGCAATTTGATTGTTCATTTGTTATTGTTGGAAAAAAGATAGGGAAGAAATCGACTAACCTTTCTATGCACAACAAAAGAATTACCCAGAATATAAATTGAATCACTAGCATGTAATTGATGAATCTACAACTACACAATTGTTCGAATATAATCACAAGAAAAATATCTTGTTCCACAACATTAATTCCGATCATCTTCTCAAGAGATGGAGGCCCTTTGTGTATTATTCTGATGGAGAGGAGAATGTTCGTTTCATGGTACGTTCTTTTCATTATGTATGATTTTTTTTTATCATCGGGAAGCTATTTTGACTTCCCTTAAAAGACAACCGCTCACACCTCTTCAAAGGGTGCCTCTCAAACACACCCCATCATGGGCGAACCAGTGCCTCTTGAATACATCCCATCATGGATGAACCACCGAAATATAACAGTTATTTTATGGAATTGACTTAAGACTACTATTATCCATAGCATGATGATCATTTCCCATGAATTTCGCGTAAAGATTCAATTCAAGCTATAGAGAATTCTGAGCTTGAAGTTTCAATAAGAATAAGAGAACCGAAAGTTTAGTCATGTGATTCGACAAATATGCTTGTTATTACTTTTTCTTTTGTTGTGGTCAAAATGCTTGTTATTACTCAGAAATTCAAAATTGGCTTACGTTTCGTTCTTCCATGTAATAGTGGTTACACCTAGTACATATCGTCCCATACCTGATCTTGCGTTCAGAGGATCTTGATAAGGATGGTTTTTACATTGCGACTGAAAGGACAAACCTCAAATTAGGTGCGGATTGTTTGGTTTATCTTGCAATTGAGACAAATAATCATGATAGCACATCAAAATCTGTTCATGTTACCTAATTGAGGGTTGAAATTTTGGGTTTGTAAATTTTGTGCGGAACTGACGCGGAGCTACGAACGACGAACGTTGGCCCAAGAAGAAGCAAATTGGAGAGGATTCCGTGTAGTACATTGCTTAAAAATGCTCTCTCCCGGCGACGAGTCAGAATCCACCTTCTCAAAGGGGAATTATTAGTTGGTTTATACGAGAGAGAGGGAGAGTTGATTCTGTTGCGGACGTCTAATTCTACGTCATCTCATCTCCGTCCGTCCGCTTTGATGTCTACACATTTATGGGATGAGTTAATGCTGACTAATTGATTTCTTTGAGGAAGTGATTCGTGTGCAACAAGTGATTCAATTCGAGCGAACTAGGATTTGGTCCAATTGATGTCGCATTTATGCTCGATTGCCATAATCCTGCAGGTGCCCTTTTTCCTGGTTATTTAAAACATTGCTATACCAATTAATTAATGGATTACATGTTGAAAGTTTAGTCAGCCTGTCAAGTGCCAAATTTGGCCACGTTATACCCAGAGCTAATTTTTTTAACTTATTTTTAAATTTAAAATTCCACACATTAAAAAATTCCAACAAAAAGTAGGAAATTCTACAAAATTCAAAATGATGAATTTAGAAATACAGATATCTTTTTGGTGTGAAAGTTGCCTAAAATGGAAATACGATAATTTTTTCCAATATTAAATACAATACATCGTGCATCAACACTTGGCTGGCCAACCTAGGCCTGTGTACATGGCCCTCTTGATGGGGATTGTGGTCTCTGTGTCACCACAATTGTCCCACCCCACTTCTCGGATAATAAGCAAAAGTTTTTCGACAATGTTTACATGCTGCACAGTATGGCTCACATGCGTGATTTCTTTAATCTCGAACAATTCCCTAATGTTAATGCCTTTTCCTCTCGATTGATTATGACATGGACGTGATTGGCGAAGACTTTCTGGATTGTTTGGACAAGGCAAAGTCCAACGGGAGAGCTCGGAATAAAAAGTCGCATAGCGCGCAACCAAACGGCCATAACTTCTGAACCAGGGTAGTTACGGTACCCATAAAATCAAATTGGAAAACCCATTTCGAGTGCAAGCTATGAAGGAGCAATGTTACATTTTAACAAAGTTAGCTATGTTGATCGTAATTACTTGATAATAATATCGATATGACGGTTGAATTTTGTTACTATTTTGTACTATCTAATGTAAAGCAAAAGGATATTAGATTTATCTATGTGAATATGGCATGACATAATCATATTTTCGGTATATATAGGCTATTGGACTTATTATATCATTGATTGATCAGTGAAAATATAAATTATAGGTAAACCATTAAAATATTTCAATGCAAGTATGATACGTCATGTGTTTTATTCATGTACATTACATTTTACATTAACAGAAAGAATATTAGCAACGTTGGGAAGACTGAAGCTTAAAATAACGTACATCCGTGTAATTTATTGAAAAATACAAGTATTTTTCTAATAGAGATAGATACAAAGTGGCCCAAACTGAATCTATTTAGGTATGTTCAAGCTTGCCTTGGATTTTCCTGTTATTTTTAGAGAAAAAAAAATCCTATTTGGTGATTCATCAAGTTGAAAAGTCAGCAATTTGGATCCTGATGTTTAGCAAAAACAAAAAAGATTTGAATCATGATGAAAAACATCAATGAAAATAAAATCAACATGGGTGAATCAAAGTTCGCACACTTTGATTTTGATGTGCTTTAATAATTTCATTCCCTTAGTTTTAGGTTGTACACTTAAATGTAAACCTAGCGGTCGGACGGATTTAGTCGGCTTCGGATCCTAATCCGTGTCCAGGTCTAAGTCGTAAAATGGGTCTTTGTCAATTGGTGACACTGGATCAACCTATACACAACCCTATTTGAACCAAGTTAATGCTTTTTTTACCCTAATTCTGTTCTTCAGAAAATAAGTCATGTTTTTTAGGAGCAAATATTTCTAAGAAGCCTTTGACAAGTGAATAGATAGAAAATTTGTGTAATAGTCGCGAACTGATGATAGTTTTTACTAAACTACAGAATTAATTTGTTCGATACATCATAATAACAGATTAATTAAAAAAATCTTAGAATGACTATAATTAAATAGATTGTCAAATCTATGAAAAGAATGCTTAAAAATCATAACAAGGTGAACCACGTAAAGAGTCTATTATAAGGAAAACATTGTTCTAGTTATTTTTTTACTAATATGGGTTAATACTATGAAAAACCCTAAATTGGTACACCTATAAAAGATTTACTCCGAACTAACTTTTTGACTACCGAAAACTCCAAACTGGTACACTTGTGATAAATTTACCCCAAAATAATCTTTTGACCACCCAAAACCCCAAATTTGTACATTTGTGACAAATTTACCTTCTCTAAAATTGGATTAACATCACGAAAAATCACAAATTGATAAACCTGTGACAAACGAAGGGGTAAAACCCTTAACTGGTACATCCGTCAACAGTTATGTGCTATCCAACTCAGCAATTTGATGGTAAAATTTAACGGAAACTAATAGAGGGTAAATTTATTATAAGTGCACCAGTTTGGGATTTTTTGTTGTATTAACCATGCTAATAAAGACAAAAAAAAATTAATGCTAATAAAGTTCCTATCCAATTTGAGCTTCCGACCAGTAAAGTGACACTCCTTTGACATTATCTGAATTATATTTTTTTTACGATATTACATATATCTTAGCTAACAAAATCAAACATTGCATGATTTTAACTATCCCCAATTTTCAACCGTGCTTATGATGATTCAAGCAAAAACAAAAAACAAATTTCTTCATTTTTCGGGTCAACTCAGGTCAAACATAGTTGACCCGACTCAACTATTCAATTATTTGAGCAATGTCAAAGATACTAAGATTCGTCTACTAAATTAATTTATTAAGTAATGCAATGCTCCGTAAATTTTGTTTAAGTCAGTGGCCGCACACAACCATATTGTCATAAACAAATTTAGAAGATGAATCTAAGTATGTCTATGATGTTCAAATTGTTTCCATTCATCGCATTTATAATATGAAATAATAGAAATTTTATACTTCTTCCATGATTAACAAGATACTGTGTAATTAATGTTTCAAATTTTCAATTATGATTAAAACAGAAAAAGATAAAGAAGCTTATTTTCATGTCGGGTCAAATAGGGTTAAAATAGGTCGACTCCACCCAAGCCAACTCGAAAATTTACGGGTCATGGCACGTTTTTATTTTTATTTTTTTGGTTGAAGGTTATGGCACGTTGACTCGGTTGTTTTGTGTGTTGGAGAAAGATCACCCACACCATATTTTCAAAACAGGTTTGGGTGGATTATGGGGTTCAAGTTCGCTTTTGCCAGGTCTACTTAAATCTAGTTTCCAAAATTTTTGAACTATTTAATAGATTAATTCTTTAACTCTTATCATCAAATGTGAAATTGGATCTTGAAACAACTTGTTTTGCGTGCATGATTTACTGACAACACATAAAGGAACTATCGTGATTATGTGAATTGCATATTTTCTGAGGACAACGACCTAAAACAAGGTTCCTATCCATACAATGTAGTCAACCTTATTCCAAAGGGGACAATGAAGTGATGTCACGATACTAAGTAGAAGCAAAATCTTAGTTGGAAAACATGATTATGAGATAACAGATAGGGATACCTAATCTTCATCTACGCTCAACCAAGTACTAATCCATCGGAATCACCATAAAAAAGGCTTCAATGAATTGGCGATGTTAATGACAAATAGATACTTGACATCTGCTTTTAATAGATGCTCCGTGGCAATGTTCACATAATCTATAAGAATAAGCTCAATATCCACAACTATGTTGCGCTTCGCTACAAAATGAATCATCTCTTGCGTGTCTTTCATCCCTCCAATGCTACTTCTCCCACCATATTTGTTACTAGTTTTTGTATTCGTGAAACTCAGAATTAATCATCAAGTAAAACTAAAAAGCATTTCATCTATTAGGCGAATTATGAAAGGTAGTTTTTTCTAAGAAGTACTATAAAACTTCAAAGACCTTGCTTACGCTTACCCGTGAGGAGTGAGAAAGCAAGTAGCTCAAGCGGCTTCTCCGGTGCACCAACCTTGACAAGCGTTCCATTAGCCTTCAAGAGACCGGTCAAAGACAAAAGAGCATGCATAGCTGAGATTCTATCAATAATGTTATCCATTGTACCCTTCACAAGCTGCAGTTAATAAAAGATAATAACATAAATCTATATTTGGTTAACCTTATATCTATACATCATCAAAGAAAATAATATGCGGTGAACTATAACTTACTTCTATCTATTATGTGTTACAGCTAACCAAGAATGCATCGGCTCCCAAATGGACCACGGCTTCATTCTTTATATTAGGTGAGGTATCCTTGACGGTCACTTTGAGGCCCATATCCTTAGCAAACTTTACAGCCATATGCCCAAGCCCAACCACCCCTAAATGCATTCCAGCCTTATCAAGCCCGTAGTACTTCAATGGAATGTAGACAATGATCCCAGCACAAAGGAGAGGAGCAACAGCATAAAGAGGCAAGTTGTCGGGGATTTTAATCATTAAGTGCTCATCTAATACCATGATGTCCGAGTAGCCACCACAGGTTGTGGTTCCATTGTAGTACTTTCCACCATAGGACAAGATCATATTGAGGAAGTAATTCTCAAGATCGTCTTTGCAATTTGCATAAGAGTGGGTCTAACTAGATATGCTGATTGGCACAGACTTGGGCTCTCCCTCAGCAATCTCCCGAGATGAAGATATCGGGTGTCTTCTACGTGCTCCTAACAAATGGTATCAGAATCGATAGTTAATTGGTATTCTACCCCAATCTGTTTCGGTGTTTGATGAATATCTCAAGAAAGAAATCTAATGACCAATGCGGTTTCCTGAAGTGGTTGTTGTGGTGTGGCAAAGCGGGCCCAATGGTAGACTTCACTGTTTGGTCTAGAGAAAGAGATTGGGGACGAAATTGGGCGTTGATGGAGACTCAAGTTTGAGATATCCTGATACCGGTTGTTAGGAATGTGAATCTTTGAAGAGAAAAAATAAAGAAGAAGAGAAGCGAATTTTTACGTGGAATCCTTTCAAAATCATATTGGAATAAAACCATGGTGCCGTACTAGGCAATCTCTTCAATATCGGTATTAGAATTACAAGTTTCAAGGTTACAAGCTTCAGCATTTGATTTCTTGGGATTCGCACATGATCAAATCTAAGGACTCCATTGTCCATGGTGTCATAAGCTCCGCTTCCAAACTTCATGCCAATATTGGCCGACAGCTATGCCTGGAAGAGGCATTTGGTCATCCAAGCTCCGAAGCTGGACAATGAAACCATACACTCCATGGTCCTGACCATTAACAACTAGTGCACATGCAACAGCATGTGTGGAAACTTTACAAAGTCCACCAGGCCACCACTTGCAAGAAGTTGGAGTGGGACTATTAATGATGAACTCATCCGTCTGGGGATCAAACGTAGCAGTAGTTTCAAGACCTTAGGACATTTGAGCCATGGCCAATTTCAGTCTGTGCATAGCATCCGATTACTTGCATCTTATATGCCAACGGCAACCACTTCTGTTGGTGCTCCTGAGTTCCTTGTCCTTTATGACTCCATGGACAATGGAGTCCTTAGATTTGATCATGTGCGAATTCCAAGATATCAAATGCCAAAGCTAGTAACCCTAAGGCGTATAACCGATACTGATAGTGAAAAGATTACCTAGTGGGATACCATGGTTTTGCTCTTTCTGATTTTGAAAGGGTTCCACGTAAACATTCACTTGTTGTCTTCTTTAATTTTTCTCTTCAAAAATTCGCGTTCTAACACTTTGTCCTCGATTTTGAATTTTGTAACTTTGGTGCCAACTCTGGTGACCACACCAACAATCTCATGTAAGAATTTCCTAATGTGGGCTTCATTAATTGAAATTAACTCAATTAGTTTGGTCTAATAAAGATAAGATATATGGGTTCTTAAGAAGTCTAATATGGGGCTGGCTGGTGTGGGCCGAGTACGACCCGACCCGTAATGAGAGGGTCCGTGGTCGAAGACTCTATAAATAGCGCTCAAGTCCATCCCCTAACCTGATGATGCATAATCTGACTCACATACGGATCTAGAGAGAATTTTCTTCTCGTGAGTAGCAATCTCATTAGGCCAGTGTTCTAACGAAGGGTATAGGGGAGAAGCCCTTGAGTTCGTGTTTGGAAACCGTCGCAAATTCCGCGCCAAGTTCGATGGATTCCAAACTAGGTACGCAAATCGATAATTTCTCCATTAACGTGTTTCGATTTCTGATTATGGTGATCCTTGGCGTGCCATTTTTTGTGGCCAACATGTGGTATCAGAGCCTGCCATAGATTAGAACTGAAACATGCAGATTAGGACTGTTTTCGTTATGTCCAAGAGGTTTTTACCCATTTTTGAAATTTTTTATCGGATGAATGTAAAATTTTATTACATATTCGGAATCTACTCATCGAGACGAGAAGATTGGCGGGCGGCACGTCACCGGAAGAGGCTGCACGCGCCCTCACGCGCCGACATACGCCATGGGAGCAGCGGCGCGTGATGACTATGCACGGCCGTGCCAAACCGGCGCGCTTTTCCGCCGGTAACCGCAGGCTGACGTCAGCGAGGGTGCAGATTCGGTTGACCCGAATCTTGACCCGACCCGAATTTTGACTCGACCAGACTCGGATTTAGACCCGATCCGATCGGTCAACTGGTCGGACCGGTCCGTTGATCGTTGACCGGTGGACCGATCAACCATTAGGACCGGCTGTTCAGACCGGTTTGACCGGCTGAACACGCGCGCACGCGCCGTGCCTTCTGGCGGCGTGTGAGAGCGTGTCCGACGTCCGTTTGAGACGTTCTTGGTACCGACGCACTCGTATCGAGATTCTCTACATTGTGGTGTATTTATTTTACATGTTTGAAGCTTTTACATATGTGAAAATACGTATAGAACCCTATATACGCGTATTTTTAGGGTATTTTTGAGTATTTTCTTGTATTTCTCTATGGTTTCGGAAATGTATATGGTAGCTCATATGTATATCACCACATAAGGACTGTGTAGGGTGTAATTCATTGTCTATCAATGAATGGAACAATATAATTAGCATGACATATAATTTCAGAGACATATGCCCTTGTCTTTACGTCTAGCATTACATGTATATAGTGAATGTGATACATAAAGCTCACATCCCTGGTATGAGAGATTTTTTAAGATTCAGTTGGGTAGTGACCGCCAAAGCGGCACACTTGACTGGGTTTGAGAAATATCGGTCTCATATTATGGTGGGATGTCTCTTGTTCTATTGCGTGATCATACTCCCAAAGGAGGTGATCTTGTATTGGTTTATGGAGGGGTACATGTATAGCATGTGCTTGAGAAATGACTGATTTTAGTGATTCATACACCCAAAGGTGGTGATTTCACGAAAGATTAGAATATGTTCTCATGGCCGCTGTCATGTGGAGAGTATACAACTGCATATCATATTTTCTGCCCAAAGGTGATTATGTGATGATGTATGTAACTCTCTGGATAAGTACTCACATGATGCTGATTATATTGTTTGTTTATTTTCCAGTCACCTTTTCTATAAATGGCAATTTCATTTCTATTGAGGTCCTTACTGGGTTGAACTTTAAGAAATGGAAAGAGGATTTTCTATTTGGAATGGAGTTGGCGGATGTTCACATTGCTCTTATAAAGGATAAGCCGGCAGATATCACGACCACCAGTACTAAAGCTGAGAAAACGGACTATGCTGCATGGGAAAAGAGCAATCGGATTTGCTTATTGACAATGAAGAAATCCATTCAAGAACACTTGAAAAGTGGTTTGCCAGCTGACTGTACTGCTAAGGAAATGATGGCAGCCTTAGAGGTTAGAAACCGCATTTTATCTAATGCTGAGGTTGGTACACTTCTTCAAAAGCTCTTCAATATGAAGTATGATGGTACTGCTGGGATTAGAGATTATGTCCTTAGGATGGTAGACCTAAAGATGAAGCTTCAAGCTCTTAATGTTTCCATTCTTGATGCTTTTATTGTGCATCAAGCCCTGAACACCCTTCCACCTGATTTTGGGATTATAAAGACAAATTACAATTTCCAAGATGAGACTTGATCAGTTAATGACTTGATAGCAAGGGTGGTGGTAGAGGAAGAGAAACTTAAGAAAGAAAAAGGGCATCTAGCCTTATATGTTTCTGGTTTCCACAAAAGGAAGGATAAGAAGTCCAGAAATCGTACTCATAAAGGTACTCATGACACTACTAGTCAATCTGACAATATGGGTTTAAAGAAAATATCCTTCAAAAGGGATGGTGACCGCTGCTTCTTTTGTAAGAAGAAAGGTTACGTAAAGAAGGACTGTGGAAAGTTTAAAGCTTGGTTGTCCAAACGTGAGCCTACAGGTAATGATTCTTTGGCACTTGTTTGTGAATCTAACCTATCAGAAGCACCATCCAGTTCTCGGTGGCTCGATAGCGGTGCAACTAATCATGTTGCGTTTACCATACAGGGATTCATAAACCGGAGGAAGCCAAATCAGGATGAGTCAAGACTCACTGTGGGAAACAACGAGAAAGTCGATGTTGTGTTTATGGGAGATATTATCTTGATTCTAGACTTTGATTTTAGATTAATGTTGAAAGACACTTTTTATGTACCTTCTTTTAGACGGAACTTAGTTTCCGTATCGTGTTTGGACATGTATGGCTACTCTTTTGAAATCAAGAACAATGTTATTTCTTTGTTTCTTAATTCAAATAAGGTTGGATGCTGTAATATGTCCAACGCATTGTACAGATTGTGTTTGTCTCCCAATGACATATACGTCGCTTATACGCCTGAAAAAGTTGTTTCCATGAGACCACTACCTAAGGAACAGTCTTATGCATTGTGGCATAAACGACTTGGTCATATCTCGAAGGATAGAGTAGAAAGGCTGATAAAGACTAACATCCTGCCTGCTCTTAAAGATGACCTAGAGACATGCATAGATTGTTGTAGTGGTAAAATGACCAAGATAAGGAAGAAAACTGCAGTCTGAAGTTCTGACCTGTTGGAGGTCATTCACACTGACATAAGTGGACCCTATATGGCAACCTTGTGTAGAAATTTTTATTTCATCACATTTATTGATGACTATTCTCGATATGACTATCTGTACTTGATTAAAGAAAAGTCTGAGTCTCTTGACAAGTTCAAGATATTTCGGACTGAAGTCGAGAAACAGTTGGGAAAGGTCATAAAGGTTGTTAGATCTGACCGAGGTGGAGAGTATTATGGCAAACATGGCGATGCCGGACAGCTTAAGGGGCTGTCGCGCCGTGCTTTTTTGGGGGATTTCCGGGATTTGCGCACTAAGGAGGTATTTCCGTGTAAGGGTTTCTCCCAGACCATAACTCACGTGACAGTGGAAGATGATTTTTTTATTTAGTCTAGGTTTCTGATTTTGGAGTCGCTACTAGTCATTATTGGTAGGTAGACTAGAAACCTAATCGAGGTACAGGAGAAATACCACGATTCTACGAGCCAGAGATTCTAAGTACGGGGACTTGGTTACGTTATTGATCCCGAATCGAGATCCCTAACGTCCTTTCGGTACCTAAGAAAAA